TGAGCATGAGCGAGTTTCTACTGACTTACTCCTGCAAAAAAATACATACAAAATGACGATTTACCTTTACAGATCGCGAATTGCTGCGATAAACTCGACAAACAAAATGATTTCTTCGAGACAATTCCCTTTGAGCCAATTCTTTCCATAAACGACAGACAAGCAGAACGTTTGTTAAACTTCGCCCTGGTAAATAACTTAAAATGTCCGCCAATGTTTCTGTAGCTAGCACTTGAATGCTGCTAACAGTGTTCAAATTCATGCTATTACACTTTCAAGCTAAAGCATCGTAAAATACACAGAAAGGAAAGTAAAATAAAGTTTCATTTTGATCAAATTATTCATCTCAAACAAAATTCAGTTTTATCTGGTACTTCCACCTGGCAAGAGCAATTTCTCTTTCTACTATTTTTCCTGAAATCTGTGACTGTCAAAAGTCAAAATATACTGTAAACGGAAATACTGTCATTAGTGCAAACGACGATATATTCTGTTTTAAAAACTTCAAGGGAAACAAATTCAAATGTATCCCTAAGCGATCCTGAATATTTGTTCTCCAAAACATATAGAAAGAACGCGAGAATTAAACAAAACGTTTTAATAAATGGGGTTTTACCACTGAGCTATATTAAATTCCTGGAGGACCGGCTCGTCATTTTTCGGTAACTTCGCCGCCATCTTTTTGTCGCCAAAAACCAGGGCGCTTATATATAGGGCGGTGCAACCAGTGAGCTCCACATATATCTGGAGTAAGAACTTAAGACCAGTGAACTCCATATATATATATATCTGGAATGATAACTTCCATACTTTAAGCGCGCGAAAAATGAAGCCTAACCCCCAGTCTTCCTACGCGGTTTGTACGTCAGTTTCAGTCCCCCAAACATCGAAATCACGCGGTTTGTACGTCAGTCTCAGTCCCTGAATGCAAACCGTTACACGGCCAGTATAAATTTGAATGCAATCACGAAAAAGATAACAAACTGAATCAGACTCAATGCAATGCATTTCGGAGCAAACCACTTAAAAACTCTTAAAAACACGTATCTAAAATCTACTGCATTGAGAATTTAAGATTGAATTGAGAAAGAGACGTGAGGAAAACGTTTTCACTGGGAAAGTTAGTCTAAAAATGCCGATATATTGCGTCGTTTCTTCGTGCAAAAGCGAACAGTACGGAACTAGAAATCAGTCTCGCTAGCTAATTTCGTTTCACAGGTTGGTAAACTGACTTCGCCGAAGTCTGTTGCAAGTTTTTAAAATGTTTTTTAAGTTCGTCGCACCGAAATTCACTCAAAAAGTGAGAAAGTGTTTCATTTAATTGCTTCGATAGTTAATTTAAAGTAATATTTGTTTTGAATATTCAACAGTGAAATTTTCCCGCCCCAAAGCGTAATTTAAAACATCAAAATACCATTCCGCATATGATGGAATTCATAATTTACGTTATAAGTTGAAAAACTCTTTTCCCAGTAGATGTTAGCCCTATTTTATATCTTTTGTACAATCAACTATCGGCATAACAGCCCGTTAACAAGCATTTATACGCTGAAATATGCACTCGGCGATCACAAACAACAAATGAGTAATAACCGCGCAGAAGACTATGTCCGATATGATGACGAATGCAATGACGTGTCGTTTGTCGTGGCTTCACTTAATCGGCCACAGTTATCATTCCAGATATATATATATATGGAGTTCACTGCTTAAGACTTCCGTGAGGCCAAAAAGTGAAGCCAAAGATGGCGGATATTGAGGCGCTATAGTACGTCAGTTTCAGTCTTCCTATGTGTGCGCGGTCAACTAAAATCGTATTTTTTAACTTTATTTTTTCCTATTTTTGAGTAAAAAATGAGGGAAATTTCAATGAAAGGTGTAATACAAATGCTTTGTATTGAGATACTTTTATATTTCAACTAAATTAACAGGGAAATAAGCGATATCTTACACGGAAAGCTAAGGAGTGGCGGATTGTTGATGTTTTCGCCTTTTCGCAAATCACAACATTTACTCACAGAATATGCTTCCCAAAAAAAACATAAATAAAACTTTTCTCAGTTTAATCCATCTATATAAGGCTTTCATTCATGTAAAAAACGAATAGGAAAGAAAATTATGCTGAAAAACGTACGAGTTTGAGTACTAATATATGATTATGAAATTTATAAACAAGACTCATAATGCACGTATAAAAGAAATCTTAAAAAGAGCCCTTTGCCAGGAAAGCTGGCCAAAAAATAAGGGACAACTAGTGTTGAAGCGTTTCGAAACCAAAAACGAAACAAGAAACTCAAAACATAAGGTGGAAATATATGAAAATAACTCAAAATTAAACAAATCTGAAATGCGTAGTTGAATTTACGGCGAAAAATGCATATTTACTCACACGTACAGTCGGAAAATGCGGCACCCAAATCGGGTAGATGCAGAGAAACATATTCTCAGTAAAATGAATCTATTTTTTCCATTCTTGTGCTCTCAAAATGATGAAAAACACGAAAATCTCAGGGTTTCGGGAACGTCACTCCCGTTTCACTCCCGGTCAAAAACAATGAGAAATATTTGGCCGCGCGAGTTAGAAGGACTGAAACTGACGTACTATAGCGCTTCAATTTCCGCCATCTTTGGCTTCACTTTTTGCACCCAAAGTTCTTACTCCAGATATATGTGGAGCTCACTGGGTGCAACGCGCTCATTGCGCGCCGATCGATGTGTGATGCGGAAGTATGGTAACGAGTCTCTATTGTTGTTGCATAATAAAATATGGCGGATAGGCTTGAGGAGGGTGAAGGCTATTTCAGATATGTCAGAGCACCTCGTCACCAGGCCTCCAACTCATACGCGGCCACAATATCCAATATGGCGACCAGACATGAGGAGTGTATATTTTAAAAATGCTTAAAAATACGTTAAGTTTACATGCAAATTTGGTATATATGAGTAGACTTTGTAGTTTAATTTTTCCTGCAATAAAATTCATTTCAGAATAATTCATACAAGTACATTATTGTATACTTGATAGAATATAAGGATAAACTTACTCTTCCTGCTGTCACTTGCCAGCCTAGCCGCTACGTGTATATCTGCCAGAAATTACTCAGAGGCAACGGAAGCAATCAAGGGCAGACGGGGGATAGCATAACAGGTAAGGCACCTTTGTTTACCAAGTCTGTCTTTATTCAATTATTGAAAATTATATGAACAAACTGCAACAAACTAGACAATCTTAACTTGGAAAAGTTAGACTGGCAAGATACTAAGATACATTCAATTTCCATGAGCATATATAGGGCAGGCTCCCTCGCTGCCTAACCACCCTTGACATTACTATGTTAAATTTAATTAGAAAGGTCTAACCCCTTTGTTGAGAAAACATTGATATTTTATCATAAAATAACTAGTTTTATTCAGGGGGAAATTTGGCAACATGATGCTGGAAAATGTGTTTGTGAGAGTCTCAAGACAACTAAGTGTCCACTATGTAGAGTTGAAGATCAGATGAGTGACAATAAAGTCAAATGCAAAAAATGTTGCCAGTCAGCTTCCATTTCAAATGTTTAAATCAAAACGTCCCCGGGTCAAAACGTCCCCGGGTCAAAACGTCCCCGGGTCAAAACGTCCCCAAGTCAAAACGTCCCCGGGTCAAAACGTCCCCAAGTCAAAACGTCCCCAGGATAAAAAAATGGATTGATCACAAACTTGAGGACACCAGTTAACGATGAATAACTCTTATAACTCTTAAGGTATAAAGGGTCGTGAAGGGTATAAAACCAGTCTAAATTTATATCAAATCCCAGTTCCCAGTCTAGTTTTGGGCTAATCCCAGTTACAAGTAAGCCCATTCCCATTCCCCACCAAAATAAATCCCAGTCCCAATGAGGAGTCATTTCAAATTCTCAGACTAAATTTATTATTAAACAATTATGTTTACATGTATTACTATTTACAGGTTTATTATTTACATATACTATTTATTTACATATACTATTTACATGTTTACACTTCTTAACGTAGCAAGAACACAAAGTGTGTACAATTTAAATTTCATAGATGCTTTTAAATCAAGTCCATTTGCTATTTTTCCCGTTTAACGTGAGCTTAAAGGCGATGATCAGACAGGGCATGCAAGATGTGAGCACCTTGATAGTAGTTTCATTGCCGACAGCTCTCCCGCAATGTATTTGGACCAATTGGTAAATAATCTACCTTCTACTTGCCGATAGTTCTTCCTCTGTCTCCTCTTTAACTTCTCGTCGCTCACGAGTCGCACTTGCATATCAACAAGCTTAGCTTGTTCGTGGAGGAGTCGCACCATCAAATAAAAGGTTAGATTTCCACGCTTTGCATGCCGATTTAGCATCCCGTGCCATCCCTCCACATCGTTGTTTGTTCTGACTGCCTGGTTGAAAACACACCATGTCTCCGGTTCCCATAACTCACCTTTAACGATGAAAAAGATCAGGAAAAATATTAGTCAGCTAGGGAATGGCAATATACATACTTTTAGAACCTATGCTATAGACAATTTAATACCTTGTATCCAATTCTCACGTATATATCTGACCAACTCCATCAACAATGGCGTGGTGGCTTTTCGAGAAAGGTTCTCGAACACTGCTGCTATGTGCTCTTTTGGCAGATAGGGTAGAGCCAGAAATTTTCTACACAACTTGTGTGTAGCATTGTCATTTTTATACGCTGGCGCAAGACCGATCTCTTGAATTTTTCTCCATATGCATTGCGCCCAATGGAAGGAGCGGCCACGAATCAGGACACCGGGAAAAACTTGTGGAATGGCTCTCCACAAGGCACTTTCAAAATCTAAGACAAATTTTTCAAGATTCCTGTCCTTCGTTTTCTTTTTGATGGCCTTTAATACTTTCCGGTAATCACGTTTCCGTTTCCCGGACATCAGTACAAAGGCAAGTGGTACTTGTTTCACACAATCTCCACTTCGCACAAACGAGTGGATGGAAAATAATTGGGTGAATGAACATAACATCTCGATATTTACTCGCAACCGTGTAATATCCTATATGTATTTATAACTGCGAGATCTAAACAAGAACTTTTAAATCGACCTTATATATACGCCTATATTTTATTGAACTCAAGCAATACTCTATGCGGGGACGTTGTGACCAGTTATAACGCGGACGTTTTGACCAGCGGTAGCGGGGACGTTTTGACTTGGGGACGATTTAACTGGACACCGTAAGTTTATCCTTATTTACGTTCTAATTCGTTTCACTCAAACGAACGTAAATTATTTTACCCTTTCTAAACTGTAAATTCGTAAACTAAACAAGTTGTTGGAATATGCTCAGGCATATCAAACAAACGGTTTATTACAAAATTCAAAACTTTAAATTTACACATCAATAAGTTAGCATCTGAACTAAGCTTAAATGTTTCTAAAGGCCCAAATGGCTGGAAACGTCTAGACGGTTATGAGTACTCTCTTGAATGTACATATCTTTGGCTATGGAGGACTTCCAGCGACCATGAAGCTTTAGCAACCTTTCAGAAATTGTTGGATTATTGAGCACTGCGGCAGTAGCGCCTCCTGATCGCAAGCTATGTAGACCGAACAAAGAGGAGTCATATCCAAGACTTTCCAAACAGTCTTTAAAGATTTCTCGACAGCGTGTGTATGACAAACTAGATCCATATAACTTGTAGCCTTTTTCTGATTTGAACCATCTGAGGGGCCTGAACAGAGGCAAAGTGCTATCGAAGCCAACTTTAGCCGATTTTAGATATCTTTCTAAAACAGAAACTGGACAATATTTATTAGCAAGGCGTTTGATGAAAACATAATTGCCTTCTCTGTAAATGTCAGTCTTAGACCGAGGGATAAAGATTTTAATGTAATCGTCATATTTTTCGATATGGTGCACCAAAATGTTGCTCAATTCATTGAAACGAAGAAAACCTGTAAAACCAATAGCGCAGATGCAGGCCACCCTTAAATCCTTGAGATTCGCATCAGGATATGCGTACTTGTCTAAAATTTGTCTCAACATCTCAGGAGACACTGGCAACTTCTTCTGAACGGGAGTTGTTCTCGATCGTTTAATACCCTCAACCAAATTTCGACAAAATGAGTTATCGAAAGGGTTTGGACAATTATCTGGTAAAAGAGAATGTAACCATTTGAGTGCAGCATATGTAGTAGTCACCACACTGGGAGAATTTGACTCAACGAAACGATGGTGGATATAAGTTGCCGCAATTGGGATATTTGTAGGAAACTGGACCGGAAGGCGGTGTATGGCACGCCATTTCTGAAACTTAACAATCTCTGTAGAATATTTCTTCGTAGTTGAATCTGCCCTAGAGTTAGCAAGTAACTTTGCTAAAATTGATTTGTCTGGACGAATACATTCTGGTAGGTCCCCCAAAAATTGTTGCGAACCAAGAATCTGAAACTAAACAGATGAAATAAATATGTGGTAATTGCTTGTGAGAAACTGCTTTATTTAAACACCCTGATAACGCTATACAATTCGTTCCAGCGTAACACAATAATATAAATAATCTATAGTAAGATAAGTATACGCAACAAGTGAAAAGTGTATGCCGTGTCGCCTCTATGTCAGATTACGTAATCTCGAATATAGACTATATTGGCCAGTGCCACTAGAAATCCGTTTGGGCCAGTGCCCCTATATCCATTATGACCGGTGTCTCACTTATAGGCATAATTTTACACATAAATTCGTTGAGGTTTATTAGTATTAAACACTTCACAGCCTGTCATGAGACCGTACCAGATCTAGACAGAATTTCTGGATTCAGTTCAACATATTGGTACGGAAATCCATTCTAAGGGCTAACATATCGCCCGGAAATTGAGGGCCGAAGATAGAGTTAATGTTTCTACCGTGCATCAAGACGCTGCTTCCTTTAAAAACTTTATACTCGACAATACAACAATAGTACTTTCTACAAATTATCGGCCAAAACTGTGATGAAGGCCAGAACGGTACCACGACTGTGGCAACCGCCCTCCTCTTGTGTAGATAATTTAAAGCTTCAATTACGAGGCTGACTGGCGGAACAACTAAACAATTTTCTTCCTTCAAGTTCTGTACGAAAAAGTCAACTGCAGTACAACCTGGATTCCAATGCCATGAATAAAAGCGACTAATCTTCTTGTTATAAAAGTTAGCAAAGCAATCAACAGTATGTTTTCCCCATAATGAGTCTAAATGCCGAAAAAATGATGGTGTAATCTGCCAGTCGTCAATGTCAATTATACGGCTAATGCAATCGGCCTTTTGTAAGTCGGTGCGAGGAATCCACTGAATGGCTAGCTGTACATTATTGTCAACGCAAGTTGGTAAATCCTTAAGGCCATATCATGTAAATCTCGACGCATACTGCCCACTTGAACTATACTGCAAGCCGCTTGATTATCAGTAAACCACTTTAAATATGTGTTCTGAACAAGGGGAAGAAAAGATTGAAGGGCGTATTCAATGGCAGACAACTCCGGCCTCCAAGTAGAACTTTTGGATATCTCATGCTGTTCGCAAAGTTTGTGGCATATTTGCTCACCATTAAAGTTCAAGTGTGCTCCGCAGCCTGATGCACTTGCATCCGAATAAACAACATAGTTAGAAAGCAAAGGCAGTGCATTAATATCTTTAAAGTTAACTTTCTTTAAGTTTTTCTGCCAAAAGATAAGTTCCTTGACGGAGTATTCGTCTAACAGAAATTTCGAATCCCAATTGGAAGCACTATTTACGGACATAGAACAATGTCTCGTCGTTAACCTTGAAATATCTCCTGTCACTGCATAGGTTGAAATAATTTTACCCGATAATGAGGCCAATTCTCTAGCCGAAACGATAAAGCTTCTTGCTTTAATATCATCTATGAATTGCAATATATTATCAATCCTTCGATCTGTAATGTAAATTGACCCAACGCGGGAGTTCCAAACAATGCCTAACCATTCGATAATTTGACAAGGCTCCCAAATGGACTTATCAGAGTTGGCGATGAGGCCAGCTTTAAATAGATCTGACCGTATACAATTAGCTAGAGACAAGCAATGCTCATAATCGAATTCAATTAACCAGCCGTCGTCCAGGAACAATGCTATTTGTATACCTTGTAGTCTCCAGTATTTCTCGAGGGGTTTCAAGCATTTTGTAAATACGTAAGGGGCAGAGCACAAACCGAATGGCAAAACAGTAAAAACGTAATGTTTAGGCTCGTTAGTCTTTGGGCATTTCCAAGCAAATCCTAGAAACGTTTGATACTGGTTGTGGATCTCGATATGGTGATAACCGCTCTTTAGATCAAAAGAAATCATAAATGCGCCCTTTTGGAAATATCTCAAACCAACTTTCCAGTCTTCGTATTTTATTTTCGATTTAACAACGTACTGATTGACGTGTCTCAAGTCGAGAATAAGTCTCTCTTCCCGCTAGATTGTACGGCAACAGACAACGGATTGACAACGTGCGGGGGTTCGGCGACTTCGATGACCCGTTGAGACTGAACGAGTTCTAAGATAGCTTGATCGACAAATTCTGCATGCTGCAACGCGGATCTGTTATTAGTGAGATTAACTGACGGAGGCGTTTGATTAAACGGTATCTTGTAACCTTCCTCAATCATACTAATAATGGATTTTGGCGAGCCTATTGATTGCCAAAATTCTACATTTTTCTTGAGATTGCCTTTGACTTTCAATTGTAGTGATTGCTCATATTCAAAATAATATTGTACCTGTACAATGTCTTCGAGTGAATCATTTTGATGAATTTCATTTGGATTGATCTCTGTTGTATCCTCCTGAAGAGTTAGTATTGTAGGCGCTGTTTGAATAAGGGAAGCCGCCGCGGTTTGATGACTGGTAATAGGGCGAAGAAACTCTGCACTGTCGAGCCCAGTGGCCGAACCGGTGGCATCGATGACAACGGGATGTGGAGCTTGAACTAAAATCTGTACGGCCTATACCGAAACAAATTGTACTGTGTATGTAACTGTAAAATAACACACTCGAGAGGGGCCGGGATGGGCGGGTTTATACGAGACCGTTTGAATGATATAGCAAGAGAGCGAGAGAACTGGATACTGAAAAACCTGAATATATATACTGCTATAATACTGACACGTGATAACCTTTAGGGACTTAACTGCATTATATACAGTATAATGGGCCACGCCTGAATTAACCTGTTTACCAATGGAAAATACATATTCTATCAAGTATACAATAATGTACTTGTATGAATTATTCTGAAATGAATTTTATTGCAGGAAAAATTAAACTACAAAGTCTACTCATATATACTAAATTTGCATGTAAACTTAACGTATTTTTAAGCATTTTTAAAATATACACTCCTCATGTCTGGTCGCCATATTGGATATTGTGGCCGCGTATGAGTTGGAGGCCTGGTGACGAGGTGCTCTGACATATCTGAAATAGCCTTCACCCTTGAGGAGGCAGAGGAGCAGTATTTCGATAGGAATGATGAGCATTTCTCGTTCTCTCATGATACGGGGGATTCATCTTCTACAAGTAATGCACACCAGGACAATGACACTGTCCGGGGCCATGCTGGGTGGGCAGTAAAGAGAGCTAGAGATGTTATCTTTAAGGGGCAAGATAAAGTGCCAGCGAAGGAAACTGTTAACGACGATTCGCCAGTGATTTTCAGCAGCAAAACAGCCGCACTAGCAGTTTTCTCACTATTGGGGGAAGATACGAAACAGGCTAATGGCAACTACAATTTTATTATTTATGAGCACGTCAATCCTTTTTTTATTTATCTGCACAAATTGACTGAACTTCTAATAAGTCCGGATAATATTCTCAGGGAAAAGGAAAACATACTGAAATTTTGTCTTGATGAAATGTCAACAAATAAGGAATTGAGAGGTAGATGGAATGAAATAACACCGAATTCAGACATGGTAGCATCTGTTGTGGTTTTGCAAAGAATTGTCACTTTCTTCCTTAAGTCGAAGCAGCAAATAATTCGTGAAAAAGAAGGCCTTAAGCCGAAGAAAAATAGCATCGCTCACCGACAGCAATTAAGTCGAAATAAAAAATGCTCTGCTGTATCCCACACTCGGACAACAGTGGATCAATCCCACACTCAGACAACAGTGGATCAATCCCACACTCAGACAACAGTGGATCAATCACATATACAAACCTTGAGAAACAATTTCAACAGTTCTTCATTACATGTGTTTTTACTTCATTTGCAAACTCTGCCTTTTTCAGAACAGGAAAATATTTTGACAAAATTCAAAGGGAAGGAACTTGGTAAAATATTGAAGTCATTGGGACAGCCAGCATTTTTTGGGAAAAAAAAAGAGAAACAAATACAGACCCTCTTGGATACAATAAAGAGAGGACAGATATGCATAAATTTTCCCAAAGAGGTAAGTCTTATTATAAAAGTGAAAACCAGGGCGCTTATAAATATGTATATATATACATGTCTAAGCGCCCTGGTGAAAACCATACCACATTGCTAATAGAAAATAAATAGAAAATTTATTAAAAAGAATATATTTATATATAATATATATATATAATATAATAATATATATATATAAGATATATATAGCACCTATTTGTTTATACCAAATTATTCATATTTTTGTGAGCCATGACTGGCTCTTGTGAAAGTTTTGCCCCCCGGCCCTGAAAAGACTAATCTGGCACTGCCTCTAGGTAAGGTCTTCATTTACCTATGAGAGTGGTCACAATTAATGCTGTGAAAGGGTCCTAAAGATATTTTGAGTCTATTAAGAAAATACTAGAAAATATTCTGATGCACTTAAGGGGGCCCACAAAAGTTAACTTGCATATTGACTTTATAAGAAAATTGTATCCTTGTTCTATTCTAAGAACTCTAGTATGTTGACACTGTGGGATCTACATTGCAAGGGGGGGTGTAAAATTTTATCATTGGATCAAGGGGGGCACAAAACCTAAATGTCTAGAAATGAGGGGCCATGAAAAGGAATGGAAGCCCGAGTAAATATCTTCCACCCCCTCCCCGGCATTAATTGTGACCACTCCCTAACTTAATATTTCATTTTATATAGTTGGCAAAATAACTCTCAAAGATAAACTGGCCACAGTTGCGAGGTAAAGATACTTTCCATATTACCTCTCCTTGGAAGACTTGTGATGCTACTCTCCTGCTCACTACTAAGTTCTATTTCATCATTATCCAAAACATTTGTTTGTGTCTTCCTTAGCAATTTGGTGGCAGAATATGTGATAGCACTGTTTACGTTATATCCATAAGCAATTGCAGTCATGTTGGTTGTACCGCCACATGATTGCCTTTGCACCGAGAAGAAAGACTCAACTAGATCTTGACTTAGTCGCTTTGGAATCACATAATGGCTTCCTTGGAGGGATTGGATTTCAGGACTTCCAATGAATTTAACAAGTTCCTTAAAGCCGTTAATTGAAACCTGCAAAGTCAAAGAAAACAGTTGGTCAAATAATATTCATTCCCAAGTTCATACATTCACTTTTAAGTTCAAAAGGGTTTTGATATGAATTTTAAATTTTATTAGATATGTATGTGAAGAGTTAACTAAAAATACTGGGTTGATTATAGTTAATTATGGCTTTCAAATCAACTATCAAATCCGATTTTTTGCATAGATCAAAAAGTAGTCATTATGCAAAAGGTCTATTGAATGGTTGATTTTGTTCATTTTCATATAATAACCAATTAAATCACCTGCAAGTCAAACATTGTTTGCCAAGAAATAAAATGTGATGATATCTCAGCTTTAGTTTTAAATTTAGAAGCAAGTTCATCCTTCCAATTATTGAAAAACTGTATAACATTTTCCAAATCTAAAATTCTAGAATCGGTTATTGATGAAAGTGGTTTGTCATCATTGAAGACATTCCATAATTTCTCACAGTTTAAAATGAATTTCTGGGTTGACGTCGTTTCATCTGACTCAAATGTCTCCATATCTTTCTGCACTTTTGAGTTCAGGGCTTGGACAGCAAGCTTCACCCGCATCTTACTTAAGCTATCGAGGTGAACATGGGAACTTCTTAGGTCTGTTGAAAACAAATGCCTCTGTTTGTCTCTCAGATAAACAGAATAGATGTGATCCCACAAAATGTTTTTAGAATCTAACAATAAGCATCGAGTATATCTTGGGGAATTTTCTTTGAAGCCACTCTTGTAAATGTTGTTGCGGAGTTTCTTAATCAAATGGGGTGGATCAGACATGAAGAACATAGGGAGTTTGGAGTATGGGTTTATCGTTTGGCTTGTCGTTTCACTACAACCATTCATTGTCATAAATTTTCTGTTCTCAGCAGCACCATCACAACATGTCAGAATGACTTTAAAATCATAGCCATGTAGCAAACCAACTCCTTTCCAAAATAATCTGTTTAGGTTTTGAGCAGATATTCCTCTTGTTAGAAAATAGGAACATGGAAATTGAAAACCAGCAAACAAGCTCTTATAGAAAAATTGTAGCACATGTGTTGCAAGGCTGTCTCTTAGATTGGGTGACTTATCATCAATGTCCAAATCAGTAAAACCGATTAATTCCCATGATGATGGGTCGAAGAGTAAGCCTTCTTTAATTTTGACTTCATCAAATAAAAGACAACCAAATTTTCCAGCTTCTGGAATTTTCTTATCTACAAAGCTGTTTCTCATGGCTTCTAACACAGATGTCTGCCAACCAGATTTTGATGAACAGAAGTTTTTGTAATCGGAAAGAGTTCTTCCACTAGGAAGTTTTAGGAAACCAGATTCTCGAAGCTCAGTGTACATGCTATGGGATTTACAATACATTCGTAGGCACCATTTCAATATCAAAGGATGCCACCTCATTTGTTTGGAAGGCATATTCAAAGCCTTTGCCTGATCGTTCAAAAGGGTAATGAAAAATGTATCTGACTCACTCCCTGTATGTTCAACAACATGGCTGTGGAGAAGCTTCTTTTTCCCAAAACGTTTGTCGCAGCCTAACCACTCACAAGTATATTGCCTGTTGATTGGTGCAACATCATCGACAGTTTTAATATGAACAGTTTTCAAATGTCCAAGAAGCAACTCTGGTGTTTCAAATTCAGTTTCCAAATCACAACCAACCCAATAACAAGTGTTGTTATCATGCTTTTTAACCACTTTATCCAATCCTTTATACAATTCTTGAAATAACTTCCTAAAATCTGAATCTGTATTACTTCCAACGTACTCATTTCCTTTTGGTATTCTTCTAGCCTTTTTATTTTGGTCTGCATCACATGAAGTTTTCCTGCCATTTCTCTAGTACGATTGAGTAGCTTATCTTTCGACATATAATCATATCGAGTATGCTTAGAATTCTGACCTATGACTATGTTCTTGCTTCTATATTTAAGTGTCCTCATGTAATGACCTGACTGTTGGCAAGATTTGCAACTTTCACCATCCTTAATAAATATGTCACAATTGGTGGATCTTAAACATCTTTTGCAACAATTTCCTGACAAAGATTCTACAAATGCTGCAGGCTCTCCACTAGCTCTCCTATAAACTGGGTACTGTCATTCTCAGGTAACAAATCTTGGTAATTTTCAACAGAAGCACCAGGGCATAATCGCAATTTCTCGAGAGATTTCATGAGTGAGTAAAGCTGATGCTTGTCATAAACTGATGATGGAAGGAAATTGTCATCAAAATTCAAAACTTTGGGCTGTCCCATAAAAACAAAGAATAACTCCCATCTGATGACACGGTTACTTGATACTGTGCATTCACAGGACTTCTACCCATATAATAGAGATTGACTTTTGATTCTTTGACATCAGGAATGACTTTCCACTTCGGAAACCTATTCATGCAATCAGCACTGCCCTTGTTTATCTTCCATGCAAGACTTTGTGAGAGCTTTCCCTCCTCCACACTGGATAGGCATGCCATTTCTAGATCTCTGCACAAGTCATCATAATAACTATTGTGGCTTGCATCAGAATTTAGGAGTAGGTTCAAAAGGAGTGATTGGTGTGTAGTAACAATCCTTTCAATATAAGTTGAATAGAAAACCCATCTCAGATATCCATTATACTTTCCAAGTCCCTTTCTAAGATTGTTAATGGATCGATAGAAATAGTTTTGTAAGCTGACACAATCAAAACGAATGCCATATACATTATAAACTGCTTTTGTAATGCCAATAAACTTTTCGGGAGTGTATCCCTTTGCAGAATTAATGCTGCCAGATGGTGAGGAAATTCTCAACAAACAGTATAGAAGAAGTTCTTCAGGTTGTAAAGTAATTTTACCAGAGTATTGTACTTGCGCTGTTTTAGTGTTTGTAAACAATTTGTATAATCAGCAACGGGTTGCTCCCTGTCGTTTCCCTGAGGTGTCGCTTCCCCTGCAGTAGTTTCCAATGATTCAGACACCTTGCTCGTTTGTACTGAGACACATACGTGTCATCAACTTCTCTTTTGCCGCAAGAATTAGACATTTTGTTTACAAAACTGTTGTTTACATGCTCGAAAATCAATGGTGAGAAAAAAGAACTTGCTTACGACAGGAAAATGACGCGAAACTGAGAGATCATCTTTGCTCACGTTATTGTATGTTACCATGTTTACGCTTTAACCTTCGATAGAATACAGTTTGCACATCGAATCTGTGGCCGGATAATTCTTTCGTACATAGATAAGGAAACCATCTACTCAATTTGTTATTTTTTTGGTGCGTATAGACAAACGATCATCTCGCCTTCCTGACAAAAAACTTACAAGGCCTGGGCAATTTTTTATCAACGAAAGCGCTGGGCATATTTACAAGCAATTTGTATTTTATTAACTTGGCTAGTAGGGTAAAATTACTCAAGCCTCTAGTTCATTATGATATTTTCTTTAGAAAAAGTTATAAATTCTTTTAAAGGACTATTGTTGACCAGAACACAACAAAATGAAAACAATTGTTACGTTTTGTTGTTGTCAAGCAGCGAAGAAATGCACTAAAACTAACTCACGATTAAAGTACAAGTTCTAGTTATTTTATCTGAAATCCATCCACTTCAATTCTAATGAAAAGTATAATATGTCATTCTATTATTATTATATTCAACATACCTGAAATTTTTCGTCGTGGACAAGCAGTTACATGCAATATGTTCAAAGTGAAATCTTCCCTCCATTCAAGCCATTACACGATCCCGTTGTTATCCAAAAATTTAATATTTGAAAAGGCGGTTTTTAAATAATTGAAGTTACCAGACTTTCAATGAAATAGAATTACTTAACAACCCGTTAAAAGTTCTTCCAAAATGCCATATTTAAGAAAAAAAATAGAAAATATATAGCATTTGTAAAAAACACACTCCATTCACATTTCGCTCGACAAGCACGCTCGTGCCAGGCCATTTCCGCATCACACATCGATCGGCGCGCAATGAGTCGTTGCACCGCCCTATATATAAGCGCCCTGCCAAAAACATGGCGGACTTCGCCCTTCTGCGCAACCGCAGAAGCTCTGCTGACGCCACATGGTTCCTTTTGGCCATGGTAGTTACCACTGACCGGGCTCAATTGTGAGCCCGCTACAGCAGCATTCTCCCCCCTGGATTTTGAAATTTGAAATTTTATAATAATAACGGAAAACGATCTTTTGTCTCTTGCACATTTGCAGCTTGCACACCACACATCTCGTCAATATTTGAGAAATATGTTATCTACTATGAGCTTTAACACGTTATTTGTCTGCTGTTGAATGTCAATAACGAAAGCGAAAGAAACGCGTGAGAAAAGTTATATTTTTTCAATCCGATTGCAGATGAACTGACTCAAGCTCAGGTATTATTTTTTTTTTCAAAATATCGCCTCTTGGGATTTGAATTGCATCCCTCAGAATTAACTTTACCTTGCTGTCAATAAGCTATCCAGGTCAAAAATATGAGCTACTAAATTATTTGGGCTTAATAATATGGGCTTTGTTTCACCGATAGAGTTGTAGTCTTTGCATTTATATACGGATGTAAATTAATAGAGAACCATCTGTACTAACAGGATACTGTATAAAGCAGTTGGCAGGCAAAATGTTTACAAGAATTGACATTTTGTAAAAACGAATTTAAAATTGTATATGGAAAGTAATTTTAATACCTTTTTTTTAGATCCAATCTCTGATGACTACAATTTTAATAATGCTTAAACTACTCGGTGCATTTTCATGTTTTAAAGGTGAGGAATCACAAAATACTTATATGCAAAAGAGTTTTTTCAATATTTATTTCAACAATGTGTAAATTAAAACATGAGCATATAACAATATATATTGGCATTATTAATCATTTATTAACATTTTATAAAAAACAATTTTGTACAAATTAATTGAATGCCACTTTACCCAACAAAGATTAATTAACCTGATCATGTAAAATATAATACATAAATAGAATTAACCAAAGATTTTGCATTCTTCAAGAAACCAAGAATGTTGAATATTACAATACATA